TTTGTCGAGGCATGCATGGAGCACTGCACGTTCTCGGTCCTGGTTAATGGCAGCCCCACCGATTTCTTTTCCTCATCTAGAGGCCTTAGACAGGGCGACCCCCTGTCCCCCTCCCTTTTCGTTCTTGTGGCGGACTACCTCTCTCGCTGCCTTGACGGTTACATCCGCGACTTTCCTCATATGACGTATAGCACCCGTGGCTATGGCCCTCCCATCTTTCACCTCTCTTACGCGGATGACATCATCATCTTCACCCGGGCAGATGATGATGGACTGGTCGAGCTTATGCGCCACTATGGCTCGGTTACCGGTCAGGTGGTCAGTGTGCAGAAGAGCACATTCACCCTCTCCTCTTCCAGCGCGGCCAGGTGGGCTCAGCGGGTCCACGACATTACTGGCTTTGCGCGTGGTGACCTTCCGATTACCTACCTTGGCGTCCCTTTATATAAGGGCAACCTCACGAGAGCGCTCTTTGCGGGCGTCAGGCAGAGGATGATCAACAGGATCTCTGGTTGGTTGCATAGACATCTTTCTTTCGATGACGCTTGCGCTGATCAAGAGCACTCTTAGCTCTCTTCCGATTCACTTGTTTATGGTCCTCGACCCCCCTAGGTCTACTCTTGACGAGATAGACCAGATTATGGCTCGTTATTTCTGGGGTTACGAGGACGGTTCTGGGAGGGGGAGACGTACCCACTGGGTGAGGTGGGACTCCATCTGTCGCCCCCTTCCCGAGGGTGGTCTTGGCATCCGCCACCTCAGGGACATTGTTTACAGTTTTCTCATACAAGCTGTGGTGGCGCTTCAGAGAAGGAAAATCGCTTTGGGCAGCAACAAAAGACAACTAATCTAGCAGCAAGAAAGAAATAATAACCATCAGACAACTAACCTAGCAACAAAACACAACTAACCTAGCAGCTACAGATAACTAACCTAGCAACAAAAGACAGCTAATCTAGCAGCAAGAAAGAAATAATAACCTAACAACTTAAGACAACTAACCTAGCAACAAAACTCAACTACTAACTAAGCAACAACAGACAACTAACCTAGCAACAAAAGACAACTAACCTAGCAGCAAGAAAGAAATAACCTAGCAACAAAAGACAACTAACCTAGCAGCATCAGCATCAGACAATTAACCTAGCAGCAAGAAAGAACTAACCTAGCAACAAAACACAACTAACCTAGCAACAAAAGACAACTAACCTAGTAGCAAGAAAAAAATAACCTAGCAACTTAAGACAACTAACCTAGCAACAAAACTCAACTAACCTAGCAGCTACAAATAACTAACCTAGCAACAACAGACAACTAACCTAGCAACAAAACACAACTAACCTAGCAGCTAAAGACAGCTAACTTAGCAGCAAGAAAGAAATAACCTAGCAACAAAAGATAACTAACCTAGCTACATCAGAAAAATAACCTAGCAACTACTAACCTAACAACTACAGAGAACTAACCTAACAACTACAGAGAACTAATCTAGCAACTAGAGAGAACTAACCTAGCAACTACTAACCTAGCAACTACAGAGAACTAATCTAGTTGGAAGGTTAGTTGTCAACGGTCAACGCCGGAGTCAACGCTGGAAGTCAACGGTCAACGCCGTAGTCAACGGGTCAAAATAATATTTAAATAATTAAAATAAATAAAAAGAGTAAATCTTGGTCACACATGATATGTACCAAATCTTGTACCTAAAAATGAGTCTTACGTCCTCACTTTAAATAAGTGGATGCATTGGAACCATTTCCTATATATATATATATATATATATATATATAATATTTTGGGAGGCTAATTTTGTTCCAAATATTTAATTACCTATGGTATGTATTCCAATTGTTCCGTATAAGGACATCTACATCCATGCACTTTCATTTAAACATAAATTACATTCTATTTTATCCATATCATATCATTATTTTGTTAATATCTCTCTATTATTATTATTATTACTATTATTATCATTATCATTATCATCATCATCATCATCATCATGACATCATGTGTAACTAAAAAATATTGGGACAAAAGTTAAGAGTCCAACAATTATTGTAACTGAAAATATATTGAAATTATGCCAAAAAATCTGAATTTTCAAAAGAAAAATAAAAGTTAATTGTAGAAAGGGATCAACGTGACAATGAATTAATGATGAAAATAAAAAATATATAATTATTATATGTTGTGACTGACAGGTGGAAAAACAAAGAGTTTTATTGAAAATCTTGCATACAATTTATATATTGATAGTATGAAAAATGCGAAGGAGCCATCCGATGGTTCCGTTATGGAGTCATCGGACCCATGTGACATCAAATGGGACAAAAAAAATATGGCCCACACTTACACTTTCATTGTCCCATGTGATGCCACATGGGTCTGATGGCTCCATAAAGGAACCATCGAATGACTTCTTTGCATTTTCGAGTATGGTATATATGTACTTTTATTAAAAAATATTATACTTTAAAAAATAATATAAAAAATGGTATAACATATAATAAGATATTTTTATTCACATAAATTAAGCACACTTTATTTCAATTTCAAAATATCTCTAGTTAAAAAATAACATCATTTTTTAAGAATTAATAATATAATATTCAAGCTCCACCCTTCCACATAGAGGTGAACACGGGCGATCCTGCCTGGACCCGACCCCAATCAAGTCCGTTGATCACCGGTCTGGACTCGGCTCTGATTTCAACTTGTGGGCTAACCCGAACCCAGATCGGGCAATCAATTTTGATTTTGTATTATTTTTTAATTTTTGTTTGGAACGGGCTTGGCTCGGCCCGCCGAGTCACCGACCCGGCATGAGCCTAGGTAAGGGCTAGTTCCCAGTTGCCATTTTCGAACCCGGAGAGCCGTTTGGGCCCGGCTGATTTCGGGCCCGGCCCGAGTTTTGGCCATGTGTACTTCCACACATAGGTCAATAAATGAGCCGAGCCGAACCGAGTAGAACTCGAGCTCAATTTATTTATCAATATTAACAAGCCTAGTTCGAGCCTCAGCGAGCCAATCTCTAAATTTAACGAGTTGAGCTATAAAAAATAGTACAAAAAATTTCTTTTCGAGTTTTATAAAGCTGAGCTGAGCTCCACTTGTTAACGAAACGAGTTTTAAGTGAGCTCGATCTTGACTCGTTTATCAAACGAGCCGAGTCGAACTCATGAGCGACTCGTTTATTCTAACTGTTTACCTTCTTCTCACCCTCATCTATTCAACCTTTCATACTAAAAAAAACCATGCAAACTTCTTCACCACACAGTAAATCTCACCCTCATCTATTCAACCTTTCATACTTAAAAAAAACATGCAAACTTCTTCACTACACAATAAATTACATTAGTGTTTAGCAACTCCTTTTCATTCTTAAAATTCCAGTTTTAACGTTTTATTATCAATGTGTAGTATTTAAATACTAGGTATATGAAAAATAACTTTGATTTACACTACATTGAAACGAACTTCCACCACAATTCAAGATAACTTGGTGGTACTGAATTAGCAATTGTATGATTTGTTCAACTGATTTTACGTTTTAATTTATCGATTTGGATAACTATCAATTAAATTTATTATTGTATCATCAATGTATATATGAAAACCAACATAACTATTATTAAAGCTAATTAAAAATCAAACAAGAACAAAAACATAGTAACATTTAAGTTTAAAACTTTAAATTTGTATAAAAAATTGTTATAAAAGTACCAAATTTAAATAAAAACACATTGTTTTGCAGTATGAACCTAATATTTCATATATTTCGTCCAAATGTCATGTAGAGGACATCTACCTATCTGATTATTGCGTTATTCAATATTATCAACCGTTAACTTAAATATCATCTTATAAAATCAATAGAAAGAAACTACATATTTGGTGACATAAATAAATCGTTTTTGTTAAAAACATGCGATAATTCGACCGCATAACGGTAAGGACCATACACACAATAATTTGACTTTCAAACTAGATTGTGCAACTTATTAAAGAAAAAACATTTGTCTACATAATTTGCAGCATACAAAGTAGTTCATTTTATAAACTAGAAGATAAAAGGAAGACAATATTATTGGTACAAAATAAATACTAGCAATTGTACCAGTGCACCTACATTTTCCCCTCAAAATAATTAGTGGCTATTGGTAGGGGTATTATGGTCCAATCACTTGATGTTCACAAAGAGTCGATATCTTTGAAAACTGAAAGAGACTGATTTTTGGATAGGGTGTGTGAGTAGAGTATCTCTGACAATACCAATGAGAACTTTTTTCGTCTTCTTTTGGGAAAACTGCCATAAGGCCCATAACTAATGGAGCCCCCACCAAAGATCGCGAACGACGTCGTATTAAGCATTCACACTTTTCCCATTACTATTTCTCGCCATAATTTTATTTTATTTATATTAATTTTGGAATATGACATTTTCAATGTATATTTACTGATAGAATATGATTTTTTTTTTTTATTTGCGATTAATAAAATATGATTGACTAATTAGAGATGTTCATAGGTGGTTTCGTTAAACTCATAAAATCAAATTTATTGAATTCGCCATTTTAACAAATCAAAGTGATCGAACTTTTGTCCAAAACTCATAATATTTTTATATAATTTTATTAGTTTGGTTATTTTATAAATAAAATATAAATCAAATTAAATTTTAAAAATAGAAATCAATAATATAAAATCAAACCAAAATTGGAACACTACTACATCTAACCATTAAACCATACGTTTTTTTAATATTAATTTGAAAAGAAAAAGGGAAAAATCCATCAAAATTAAAAACACATGAAATGATTCGCCACTTTCTTCATGTTCCCAACAAACTGTACCACCCTCTTCCAATTCCCCTCTCTTTCTCTCTCTAAAACCACAATTATGCAGTGCCCTTTTTCTGCAGAGTGAAGAACTTCACCCAAGATTTCATTTTTAAAGCCAAAAGTTTATTCTTGTAGTGAAAACAGAGAAAAGAAATGGCGTTTTTGCTGCTGCACTGCATTTTCTTCCTATTTCAGCTGGTTTTCTCGCAGAATTCTGAAAACCCTGATAGAGTTGGTCTGCTGACGTTCAAGGGCTCGCTCGAAAACCCTGAAGCTCTCCTCTCATGGAGCACAGCCTCCCCCTACTGCAACTGGACTGGTGTCTTTTGCACCCATGGCCGAGTAACGTCACTCATCCTCTCAAACCAAGCTCTCGCCGGTCCTCTCTCCGCCTCGCTCTTCTCCCTCACCAGCCTCGTCGTGCTCGATCTTTCGTCCAATTACCTGTACGGCGAAGTTCCCCAGCAAATATCCTCCCTCCGCCGGCTGGAGGTCCTGGACCTGGGCGACAACCGCTTCTCCGGCGAGCTTCCTGACCGACTCGGCGAGTTGACTCGCCTCCGGACACTGAGGCTCGGGCCTAATCTCTTCACAGGAAAAATCCCCCCGGCGTTCGGAAACCTGGCGAGCCTCGAATCGTTCGACGTTTCTGGAAATGCCCTCGCCGGCATTATCCCACCCCAGATCGGAAACCTGACCCGGCTGCACATTTTGGCCATGGGGAATAATTATCTCACAGGCTCTTTGCCCCCGAGCCTCTTCGCAAAGCTCCAGTCTCTGTCCTCGTTTGACGTCTCGAACAACTCCCTCTCCGGGAAGCTACCGCCGGAGATCGGCAACCTCGCCTCTCTCACCGAGCTTTTCATCGGAGAAAACCATTTCTCCGGGGAGCTTCCGCCGGAGATGGGTCGGCTTTCGAAACTCGAGCTTCTGTCCTCGCCGTACTGTTTGCTCAACGGCCCTCTCCCCCAGAGCCTCTCGAACCTGAAATCGCTGAAAACCCTCGACCTTTCAAACAACCCATTACAAAGCCCGATTCCAAAATTCATCGGCGATTGGCGAAACCTCACCGTTCTGAACCTCATTTATGCCCAGCTAAGCGGCAGCATACCGCCCGAGATAGGCAACTGCAAAAACCTCAACCTTTTACTGCTTTCTTTCAACTCACTCACCGGTTTTCTGCCCAATGAACTGTCCGGATTATCCCCTACAACTTTCTCTGTCGAAAGGAATCAGCTTTCTGGCCCACTTCCCGCCTGGCTCGGAGAATGGGACCACGTCGATGCCTTGTTGCTTTCAGAGAATAAATTTTCCGGAATAATTCCGCCGGAGATTGGTAACTGTTCTGTTCTGACTCACATTAGCTTGGAAGGTAATTTGCTTACAGGCGAGATTCCTAAGGAGCTCTGTAATGCCCGATTCCTTAACGAAATTGAGCTCGGGAACAATTTACTTGAGGGAAGTCTTGAAGACACTTTCAGCAACTGTATGAACTTGACTCAACTGGTTCTGATGAATAACAAAATTCACGGCGTAATCCCGGATTATTTTACCGACCTCCCGTTGATAAGTCTCGAGCTTGATTCCAACAATTTCACGGGCACTATACCCGTCCGCCTTTGGAGCTCATCCACATTGATCGAATTTTCAGCTTCTGATAATCAACTGGAAGGTTCTCTTCCTGCCGAGATTGGCAATGCCGTGTCTTTACAGGTTCTTGTTCTTTCAAACAACTACATAACTGGAAAAATCCCAGACGAAATTGGGATATTGCGTTCTCTCAGCGTGTTGAATCTGAACAGTAATTTTCTAGAAGGAAATATTCCATCTGCCATTGGGAACTGCACGGAACTCGGCTCACTTGATTTGGGAAAAAATCATCTCAATGGCTCGATCCCTGAAGAAATTGTCGGTTTGCCCCAGCTTCTGTGCCTCATTCTTTCCCATAATAACCTTTCTGGACCCATACCTTCGAAAAACTCGAAGTACTTTCAGCAGGACTCGGTTATTCCTGCATCGAGCTTTCTTCAGCACATCGGAGTTTACGATCTCTCGTTCAACCAGTTGACCGGCTCGATTCCTGAGGTGTTGGGTGATTGTGCAGTCTTGACGTACATTTTCCTCAACGAAAATTCACTCTCAGGGGAAATACCGAGCTCTTTGTCTCGACTGTCTAATCTCACGACGTTAGATTTGTCCGGAAACTCACTTTCCGGCAACATCCCTTTCGAAATCGGCGATGCAGTTAAGTTACAGGGATTATATCTCGGCGAAAACCGGTTTACTGGTCAAATACCCGAGACTCTCGGCAAGCTAAATGGGTTGGTGAAACTTAATCTCTCGTATAATATGTTATCCGGGCCAATCCCACTCGGTTTGGACAAATTATCCGGGCTTACCCATTTGGACCTGAGTTATAACATGCTCACCGGCGAACTTCCGGTTGAATTATCAAGAATGGTGAATCTCGTCGGACTTTACGCTCAGAATAATCACTTATCCGGCCATATTGACCGTCTGTTCGGAAACTTAGTCGTGTGGAGACTTCAGATCGCGAATCTCAGCTGCAATTCTTTAACCGGCACTCTGCCAAGCTCATTGGGTAACATGTCATACTTAACTGTCTTGGATCTCCATAGAAACAGTTTTACCGGTCAAGTCCCGTCTGAACTCGGCAATCTTGCCCAGATTCAGTACCTCGACATATCCAAAAACTCGTTCGACGGACAAATCCCACCCGAGCTATGTGCCCCGACTAGCCTTTACTATCTCAACCTTGCGGAAAACGAGCTGAACGGCCCAGTCCCAGTAAACGGCCTTTGCCGCAAAATTACCAAGTCGTCCCTCGCCGGTAACAAGAATCTTTGCGGCAGCGTCGTGAACGTAAAATGCCCGTCGAAAATATTCCGAGCCCGAAAAAAGCTACCTCTGACGAACGTCTGGGGACTCATGTCCGTCTCGATCGCGACTGTTCTCATAATCCTCACCGTAATTATCGTTCTACGCATCTGGCTAGCCCGAGACCACAACAAAAGGCTCAATATGAACAACATATTATCCGACAGCAGCAGCAAACCGAACATTAACAGTTCGGATCAGAATCTCTACCTGTTGACCGGCGGCAGCAGCAGCCGGTCAAAGGAGCCCTTGAGCATAAACATAGCCATGTTCCAACAGCCTCTCTTAAAACTCACACCTTCCGAAATACTCGAGTCGACGAACAACTTCTGCAAGTCCAACATTATTGGAGACGGAGGTTTCGGCACAGTGTACAAAGCCACATTACCCGACAAACGAACCGTAGCCGTGAAGAAGCTGAGCCAGGCCAAGGCCCAAGGCCCGCGCGAGTTCCTAGCCGAAATGGAGACTCTCGGCAAAGTCAAACACCGAAACCTTGTCTCTCTCCTCGGCTACTCCTCGTACGCGAACGACAAAGTGCTCGTTTACGAGTACATGCCAAATGGCAGTCTCGACAGCTGGCTCCGAAACCGGGCCCTAGCCGGCGGGCCGGGCCTTGATTGGGCCCACCGTTTTCGGATTGCTGTGGGGTCCGCGCGCGGGCTCGCGTTCCTCCACCATGGCTTCATACCACACATCATACACCGAGACATAAAGGCGAGCAATATTCTTCTTGACGAGGATTTCGAGCCGAAAGTCGCGGATTTTGGCCTCGCTCGTTTGATAAGCGCGTGTGAAACTCACGTGAGCACGGATATTGCGGGTACATTTGGTTACATACCGCCAGAGTATGGGCAGAGCTGGAAATCGACGACTAGAGGGGATGTTTACAGCTTTGGGGTGATTTTGCTCGAGCTGCTGACGGGGAAAGAGCCGACTGGACCGGATTTTAAGGATGTTGAAGGGGGGAATCTGGTGGGGTGGGTTGTAGGGAAGGTTAAGGTGGGGAAGGCGGTGGAGGTGCTCGACAGGGAGGTTTTGGATGCGGATTCGAAGCAGATGATGCTGAGGACTCTGCAGATTGCGGTGCTTTGCCTGTCTGAGAATCCGGCTGGCCGGCCGACGATGCTGCATGTGCTTAAGTTCTTGAAAGGGATTCAGGATGAGTTGGAATATGATGCATGAAAAATTGTTTGGGTGTTTGAATATGATAAAAGTTAGTTATTTTTAGTTAAATATGGGATGTGATTGATTGTTTGGAGTTTTAGTAATGTGGGACAATCTATGTTAGTTATGTTATGTGTGGTGATTAAGTTGGTTGGGGTTTTATGGTGTTATATTATATATCAGGTGGTAATTAAGTGNATAAGGTGATGGTTTGGTTTGTGTTAAGAAAGAAAAATAAAGAGAGAAGCTTGGTGCATATGCTGCTACTCATGAAAAAGAAAGTGAAAGATTGAAGAGGTGCATGAGAAGAGGATGGAGTTAAAGAGGTGCATGAGCACACTATGGAGTATCATTGTTAGATGCAAGAGAAGATTCATTTATGGAAAAAAGCAAGTTAGCAAGATTAAGATTAAGATTGTAGCTAGTAAATTATTATATTGTTGGTCTTTATTATGCAAATAACACAAAAAAAGTATGATATTTGATAATTTATATCAGTTTATGTATTTTTGTTCAAATAGTATGACTCTTCAAATAAAATTGTGATAAGGCAAATAATACAAAACGGAGTATGTATTTGACAGTTTATATCAATTTATGTAGTTTTGTTCAAAAAGTATGGCTCATCACACAAGAATTTGTGATTATTGTAAATGCATTAAATTATTATAAAATAATATTTTTCACATGTAAAATAAAAAAAAAATATTTGTACAAAATGAACCAAAAAAATAACTATTTTTCACTATTTATCACCTATTTGGCATTTCGTTAAATTCCTACAAAATTTGTCTCTCTTTTTTTTTTTATATAATAATTCCCCTTAATTTATCAAACTGTTTCAATGAATATAATTTTTTTTCTACTAACTTTCTTTTATTCTTACGTGTTTTACTAAGTTAATGATATTTAGAGATAATTATTAAGTTGATTTATTGACAAAAATGATGATTACATATATAACAAGATTATAATTTATATTAACAAGATATATTCCAATTTATATTTTATGATCTAAATATTCTAAATCCCATATTTAGATATTAACGTCCCTTCATGTTTTGTCCAATAATCTAGATCTAATATTTAGATATTAGTTTCCTAATTATCATCCTATATTTTGATATTGGTTTCCAAATTATCATTTTCTATTATCATGTTTAGATATTTAAATTTTTTTAAGGAAAATATTTTCATGATCTAATTTCCATACATGAATAATCATTTCAATTTTTTTTGTCCTATATATAAAAGATCCAAAACACATTGATTTCGAACTCTGTATACAATCAAGAAAGCAATGGATTTAGCTGTGTCGTATATGGCATATACGGTCATAGCTTTTGTTGCAGTTTTTGCGTTGGTGGTTTTGTTATACGTGATCAAGTCTTTTTTCCAGAAACCTCGAGAAGGAGAATGAAATGTCCGAACCAGAAACAAGAGAAAGAGTTATGTTGAAGTTCAAATAATAAGCAGCTATAGATAAATCAAACTTTGTTTAATGTTTTTCTATTTTTGAGAACTCTTATTTTATCAAAATTATGTTTTAAGTTTTCTATTTACAAGAGCTCTTTTTAGGATATGATTGAATAGTCAAATCTGTTTACAAGAGCTCTTTTTAGGATATGATTGAATAGTCACATCATGGAGTTGAGTCCATTTACTTTTGTGTTGTTAATCCATAAATTATTATTATTTTTTTACGTATAATTTACTATAAATTGCGTGTAAAACCGCCAAAAATAATTGTGTTAATAATAAAGGAAAGTTTGATATATCATATAATATATTGGCATCAAATTTGCATTAATAATAGTTATGTAAATAATAATATATTAAATATTAATAATTGATGATTAAGAATATGTGAGTATTTTATTTTCTAATTGTATTAGTGAGATTGTAGAGAAAATAAAATAGACTATTTCTTTTTTAATTTATTTGCTTGTAATCATAACTTAAATTAATAAATATCAAATAAAAAAATGTAATATTGTCAAATCCCTACTCTCCTAAATTTGATAGTTGGTACGTTATGTTCGAGTTTTATTATTATTATTATTATTATTATTATTATTATTATTATTATTATTATTATTATTATTATTATTATTATTTTCTGTAATTTCTTTATATGTTGTTGTAATTATTAAACCGTAAGCTTGATAGGATTAGCCAAAGTAATCCAACCAACTTTACACGTCAGCAAGTTGTCCAACATTTACTTTACGGGATAAAATTGCAAACAAGACGATTACTATCTATTCTTATTCTATGCCCGCAATCAAAGCCTTTAGCCGGCCCTTCGATGCCCAACTTTGTCCATCCTTGGCCTCTCCCGAATGTACAAATGAAACGAAGCGAAGTTGAAGAAAATTCAAAGTGCTCAGAGTATGGGTATTTAGGTACCCGCCATATTCGCCATTGGGAAGTAGATCGGTCTTTGGGAATCCATCTTTCAACTTCCTCTCAAGCATTTATTATGTTGGATTAAATGAGATGATAAAGCTGTCAAATGTCAAATTTACCATTGTGAATTTGAGTTGTTATTGTTGTTGTTGTTGCTCTTTTTCTTATACTTATTCTTATTCTTATGATTATTATCATTATTATTATTATTATTATTATTATTGTAAATTTAGGGACATTAAGGGTATTATTGTCTTTTCGTAGGCAAAATTGAGGGCAAATATGTCAAAGAGGGATTGGGATTAAATAATCCCAGGGGAAAGGCGGGACAATATTTATCAGCTAATACTTGATAAGCTATGGGGCCTGCATTCCACATGTACACCACGTGGGCTCAATCCCATCCCAATCCAACAAAGTAAACACGGGTTTTTATTAGGTGTGACAGTTTTTATTATCCTGTCCCATCTCGCAAAGTGAACGAGGCCTAAAAGACAAAAATTCGTAACATGGCATCATCTAGTTTGATTTAGCTCTTTAAAACAGATTGTGAACATTCAGTAAAACAAAATTACCCATAATAAGGCACAAGCAGAGTCGACTTCAGAGGTGAATTCTTTCTCCAGTTCAATTCTTTCTAGTCTCCTCATAGCATTGCCCATAAGTCTCTATGAATGTTCACTATTGCCATAAACTTTTTAATATTTAGTATTTGATATTTCTGTTTTTTTTTTCCCAATCTACTCAAGATTCCAAACTGGAGATGTGACGAAATAAATGTTCATAAGTCATCACAGAAATAAATGGAAAATAAAGAAAACAGCATCACTTGATTTGGTACCAATGTTACCAATCTCAGATTCTCAGGCACAACTGAAGCAAAGAACAAAACTTTCAACTGGCTTTGGTTGTGCTCTCACAATTAGTGGGCAGATTCTGAGAAAGGCAATATTTAATTCGACATAAACTTAGACATGGCCAAAACAGGTTTCGAGGAAAAATGAGCCTGTGATGTTTGTCCAAATTCAAGATAGATCCAATACAACTTGTTTGTCCAAATTCAGAATAGATCGAATACTACTTGGTGAACGATATGGCATTGTTTAACTCTCTATGAAAGAAAGAGAAGTACCAATCCAGAGTCTTATGGAAGATTAATTCAAAAGCATACTCAAACATAATCCTCATACACACTGGATTGATGACAAGTTGTTAACACTTCTTCACTCTAAAACTGAGAGATCAGATGAAGAATCGAGATGTTCATGTTGAATTTCACTATTTCAAGCATTAGATTGAAATAGATTTAAGGCGTCCCATGTTGCAACTTGGATGGCCTTAGATGACCAAAAAAATTCATATTTATGAAACAAGATATCTCGATGGCCTTAAATTGAATTCAGCCATTACGCAGGTTTCTAAAAATCAGGCGACTCTGCAGGGGCCGCGCCTTTCTAATGGTTTATTACAATCTTAAAGATTGTTAAAGACATCTCAATTAGAAAATTTAAGCAAAACATAAGAACATCCATCTTTAAGGGCACAAATCAGATATGACATAGCAAGCTTTCTAACTCTTAGGATCATACATCCCACTATACTAATATACCGTGTAAAAACCAGTTTATACCAAAGAAATTACCACATTCATTCCTCACATCAAAATCTGATGCCTAATAATTCTATCTACAGAGAGCTACGGAAGAACAAACAGAACAAATGCGTGTGTGGATCGTACGAAATTGAGGCGTCATATTTCGGAAGATCAAACAAGATTTCAGATATGAGTAAAGTAGAAGCTGAACTGTTGAAGTAGTTCCTTCAAACATAGAAGTCCAACACACATACATGAGCCCACACATAACTTCACATTCCATTATGAGACTGACTAAAGCAATCACCAAATTGTCCAGTAACCGGTGTTCAGCCTTTAAAGCAACAAACTTTATTTACATACTTCAACACACAGTCATAATCCAAAGCAAAGCAAGTTAAAATGTCTTACATTCGGTACTCACCATAACGTTCATCCCTTGCGGCAGTCGAAGCCAAATCATTCTCAACTCTTTCGGCAATCTTCTCTTCCTCATACTTGACCCCTTCCTCCAAAGCCAGTCCTCCCAAGGCTCCAGCCACAGCTCCCACTGCCAAGCCCGTTCCCACTCCCATCCCAGGCTTACTCGAACTCGGCTTATGATAGTCGTAAGGCGTGTAATCCATCGGAGCACTCGGCCCAAGCCCTAAGCTCGGCTGCCGTTCGAAATACGGCCGATGAGGTGGCGGTGGGGGGTGGGAGTAATAAGATGAATAGTATCCCGAGGGCGGATCGGAGTATGAATAGTAGGGTTGTGGGGGAGGCGGTGGAGAAAAGGAAGACGGCGGCGGAGCAGGCTGGGGGACAGAGGAATACGGCGAAGGGGAGTACCCTCTGTACGGCATCGGTGGAGGAGGAGCGGACGAGTAGTAATAGCCGGGAGGAGGAGGAGGGGTAGTTTGGTAATTCTCCGCGGGCCGCTCGATCAGGTCGAGTTTGAGGCGGATCTTGCCCTGGGGGCGGCCGGAGGGGCGGCGGAGCTCGAACGAGGTGAGTCGGACGGGCGAATCGTCCGATCCGGCAGGGAGATCTCGGAGATCGACGCGGAGGGCGCCGACCAGGGCTTTGGGGGTGTCGGAGGGCCTGGCGTGGAGGATTTCAAGGGTGAGGGAGGAGTCCCTGGGTGGGAGGCTGAGCGGCAGGACGAACCGCTCGTTCCATACGGGCCGGGTGGAGCCCGAATCGTCGGGCTTCGTGAACTGCCGCCGGTCGGGGTCGACCCACAAAGCGACGTACGGCTTCAGATCGCCGTTCCTCCAGTTGACGTTCTTGAGGTGCTTGGCGGAGACGACGGTGACGTCGAGGTCGTAGAGCTTCTGCGGCGGTCGGGAGGTGGTGCCGGAGGCCATTGGTGGGTGGGTTTGGGGGCGAGTGATACAGTCCGAAGCGGAAAGCAGGTTGAGTCGATTGCGCAAAACTATATTTGGATATATCTTTTTGATATATAATGCTACAAGTACACTACATAACACTCGTGAAATTTATTTTTTGATCTGTCCCATTCAATATGAGTATTATGTACACATCTCTATGTACAATATTATATACCTATAATATTTTTCTTTTTTTTTTATTAATCAATAAAATTTATATTAGGGCCACAAAATATTAGGGAAAAAAAAAAGTTTTTTTCCCAAATTTTACGAAATTTGTAATTTATAGTATAGTTCACGCTCATCATCATCTGAATTTACGTTTACTTACTAAATATTTAATCGTTATTATTTTTATATTTAATTAATTTAACTACAACGTAAGAAATATTGTTCATCACAATCTAGCTACAAAATATACTTGTGGATATCGAAAAATAATTAGCGAACAATACTTTTATATTCAAGCAATCACATCACACTACACTATAGTGCTAATAATCTTTCATATATATAAATTATATAAATTATGGTGCTTTAAAGTAATACATAGAGATTTGCCTTTTATTATATATTATATAAATTATGGTGCTTTAAAGTAATACATAGAGATTTGCCTTTTATTTATGCCTATTAGTAGTTTTCAGAATATAAAACATTTGATCAACTTAAGTTATAAATATTTTTAAAACTTAATAACTTTATCTATTATCCGTTTTTATATATGATATATGAAATTAATCATATTTTTTACGATCTTCGATTTGATATTCATATTACATAGATAAAAATATATATCTACCTTTATAAATAAAAAATAGATTCTCCAATATATACTAATTAGGGACTAAAATATTAATGATTAATTATATTTATTCATGAAGTCTATTTTATGATATGAGTTTAGAATAATATTATAAAATGGGACGAAAAATTTTTACAAGTAGTGTCATTTTATATAAACATAAATCAATTTTAAAAAAAAATATTTATGGCTATTCAAACCTAATTATTTTTTAAATTGAGAGTAAATTAAAATTTATCAAAGTCAAATAACAAAGTATGAAAAATTGTCATAAAGAATCTCGAAACATAAGATTTTGCCGCGCAGCACATTCTACAATTATATATAATGGATTTTCCTTGCCTATATATGAAGGATCTTATCACGAAAAAAAACTTCAGGCTGAATTATCTCGATTTATTGAGGCCCGCTGAGAACTTGATCTGCACACATTGTCAGGAATCAAGATGATCAAGAAGTATAATCAAGGCCCAACTATTTTCACAACGGCCCATGAGGCCGAATAACGTTTTTGGATCGGAATGTAAAATTTTATTTCTTGTTGATAAATCCGGGAGTGTCATTCTTGGCATGAGTTAAGTATCACATTCCTAGTGTCATTATTGTCCCAAATGCCCAAACAAATAGAAAATTCGAATCTATTGCCCACACTCAAGGTTTTTTTAATCATTGGATCTCACACACACATCTGGATATGTGTTGATTCAACGGTAAAAACACTCGTGCTTTCGTCTATTTTTTTCCCAAACAGAGGGTCTCTTTGCTAAGTACACCTATTTGTGAAATTGTAGAACAAAACAAATTAATTGGAGTGTACTCGTTTGGGATTTTTAAATATTTTTCAAACTTCATAAATATTGGTGTATTTTATTTAGACTTTTTAAAACTTTTACAATGTCTCGAGGTATCATTCGAGATTATAAAAAATCTTACACAATCCTAAGGGTATTTAACTTATTTGAGTCTAGGATTTGTTAAGGCTTTTTAAATATTGCTGGAGTTTCAAAATACAAAATCACATACGAAATTTCATTCCAAATTTCACCTCAAAACATAAGATTATATAGGATTCATCTGAAAAATATATTAAAAAAATCTTGAAAAATTTCAACTCAAAACATAAGATTATATAGGATTCATCTGAAAAATATATTAAAAAAATCTTGAATCCCAAAAAGTCTAAAAATATTACTCAAAATCTAAAGGGAATTTGTTTTGAGTGGCCATTGCTAAACCCCACCTTAAAAAAACTTAGAAAGCAACATTTTGTGCCCCAAAAGCTGGTAGTGAAAGCCATGAAACAAGGCCCCATTAAGGAGCCTCACATGATACCACTTGCATACTACATCATCTTTCATAATTTTAGCAGCTTAATTACTTGATATCGGCCTCTAATGTCAGTAATTAACAACACGACAAAAATGTAATGTATGATATTTCATTTTGTGCTTGTTTGTGTGTTAGTATCATTCTTTCTCTAATGAAATTTTACTTTAAAAAAGAAATGTCTGATATTTCTTTGTGAAACACAAAGTATACAAAATCTTTTTTTGTATTTTCAACTGAAAAACTAGAGTAAATTGTTGGCCATCTTATTTGGGGGAGATAAATCGTGTTATAATCTATTTTACTTGTGTTTTTTGTGTGTTGTTTCGTATTTATCGTGTCATTAGATTGTGTTTTCTAATCGTGTTATGTCGTATTCGTGTTTTTGTAACGTGACAGTCATAGTGACCTCTAATACTAATAATTATTTTGAGGTGCATTAGCATGATACTCTAAATATGTAACCAAAGTCTTTTTGCTATATAGAGACTTCTCCATTTTCCCTATCAGATTTAATAAATAGGAAGGGGTCCATGTTTAATTATTCCATCATATATACAATTACATACATTTTAGTATTTAATAATTTTGTTTTTGTTATTAGTTTATCATAATATTATACCAAATTAATTATTTTTTGACCTCATATGCAAGGAATATATTTATTTTTATAAGTTTTAAATTGAATAAAATTATAATTCAAGTTTTCAGAAGTACCTTAAAATTTAAAATATTTTTTTTAAGTATAAATTTTCATTCAACATACACCACTGTTAGTTACAGATTAATAACAAAGTTGATAAGTATGGGATTCAATTATTTTATTATACCTAGGCTGTCGCGAAAAATATCAGCATCATCAAGTTGAAAGAAAAAAATATTCAAAAGGCTGTCCACTGTCAAGAATTCAAGATGCAACGCATAAACATGGAAGACTTTAGTAAGTTAAGATCAATCAAATTAAATGTACACTGATTCTCAAAGGCAAGGAATCTTTCTACATGCTGCATTGATTAATTAATAATAGCCATCCTAATTAATTTTTTTCTTTTTGTTAATCCATCTTAGTTAAAGTATTAACAATATCGTATTTGTTGCAACTTGGTGATTTGCAGTTCAACTTTCTAGTATTTAATCCAAAATGAACTTTTGACTTCTGAGTCTTGGGCCAACAGCCAACTCATAATTCACATCTTTAAAGCTCCAAAAACAATAAATAACTAAAAGTGATTATTGGAATGAGATTATGAGAGTGATTCTTCGCATATATATATCTGAATAAAGCTATGTGGGGGGCCACCAAATTCATATTTCTAAGTACTAATATACATAAGAATTGTAAATAACATTTAAGTTTTCAAGAAATTAACAAACTCCGTGACAAGATTCCTAACATCTAATTTTCAAAACCTAAAGATTGGAAATTTGGAACAGTAACTAAGGTCTTTAACAAAATCTTGAGCAAGTCCATGGTAGTTAGGGGGTCAATCATGGTAGTTAGGGGGTCAATGACTGGCACGATATGAAACAACGGCGGATTCAAAAAATTTAATTAGCTTGGGCAAAAAATTGTTTAAAGAAATTTTTAATCATATTGTATAAAGTATTTATATTAACAATTAAATAAATCGGTAAAATAATTGAGTGTTGTGGGGTTCCCTATTTAAATTGCTTTTGACTTATGCTAAAAAAATGAAATTGAGAATGGAGTCTGGAAAGCACGATAGTGAAGCACAAACACGACATGTACGATTTTCTTCCTAATGCCAGCTAGGATGTTCTACGTACATTTAATGCACTGCAACAACTCATGTTTTAGATTGAGACGAAATTGATCTCAGAGGAGTTGGGAAATTAAATGGCCTTTTTTCAAGTGTTAAATTTTGAAAAGAAAAAGAAAAGTTCAAATTCATGTCACCGCAATTTATGATATGATTCATGATTTTTTTTTTTCAATTTCCTTTTTTTTTTATTTATTGGGACTTAATCTTTCACTTTTATTTGAACATTTGAGTCTAGGTACTACCTAATTCATGGAAAATTTCATGTTGCATGTAGGGACACTGCCGCGTGCTTTTTTATCATTGATTTGATACACATTCACACAAGTGTGCGCAGGTCAAAGGTTAAAAAGCATGTGGGACAGTGCATAGAACTCTCTCTAATTCATTGCACTTGGGTCCTTGAAGTATCATTTCACTAGAGAGTAGAGATTGTATCATAACCCTTTGTTAATTTTCATAAGTACCATTATTTTTTTTAAAACGTTAAATATATTAATAACTCAGAAAATGTACATCCATGATGTAAAGACACCAACCAAAACAAAGTTTGGATCAACCCCCTTGGAATTTGATGCAGGAGAAGCGTACGAGTGAGAATGATAAAAGACCTCTAAAGCCTAAACCTAACTTGTTCACCAAGAATAGATAAAATAACAAATAAATATTAAATGCTAGAAATAATAAGAATAATAGATACTACCAAATATTCTAGTTGTAAGCACCCTCTACTTATACTTTGGAAACTCTGAATTTTCAAAAATAATTTCGAACATTTCAAAACAATTTAGCTTTTTATAACTAATCTCAGGGTACTTACTCAAAAACTCTCTCTTGCTTACTTTCTTTCTTATCTTAACCAAAGTCTAGACTTAGGTTCTTAGGAAATTTGTTCCCGAAACTTTCTTTCTTTTCAATTAAACAAAGACAAAGCAGAGCTCGAGAATACTAGTCTTTAATTGAAATGAAATACTGAAACTCATTCAAACACAATCTCAAATTTTTGAAAAAAATAACATGTTCGAAAAGTTTAGAGGAAGCAATAAAACTGCAACTTCATAAAGTGATCACCACTGCCCCTCGTGTCCGGCATCAGCTGCTTCACCTGAAAATGATAATTGTGCGGGGTGAGTAAAATAACGAGCTCACCATGGTAATCTATACTATGCAATTATTCATGATAATTATAGATACGTACTATAATCTTAGCATATAAATTAATAACTCGGTCCTCATCCGTTGGATACACGGGCTGGCCCGCTCAACAACGGAAGACTGTCTCATGTGCATACTTTTACCGTCGGATACATAGGCTGGCCCGCTCGACAACAGGGAATCTAGCTGATGCCCACGGGTGGACAAATACTCATTAACATACTTTAACCATAATATCACATAATTATTAAGAATAAGACATAGCATAGAAATCCCCACTTGACTGTTTACTGACTGAAGTGAATGAAAATGCTCGTGCGTCTGAATGAGGGCTTGACTCCTCTTTAATCTGCAGTTTAATAAATTCTATCTTATTATTTAAGGCGGCGACAAACAAACAAATAAGACAGGCAAGGACAAACACGAACACATAAACATATAAGGCAAATAAAATAAAGTAAAAAAAGGCACACAAACTTCTAACTATCTCTTTGGACTTATCTAAGCTCGACTAGAATTCTTGGAAAAATTCTAACTTAAGCTCGAAAACCTACTTTTCTAAACTGACTCGAACCGGCCGGTCTGTGCCCTGTCAGACCCGGTTTGGCTGGCCGGACCGCTTGGGTCGACTAGGCTACGAGTGCAAGGCATGGGTTCGTTGGCTTAAGGCGCGCACACGGTTGGCCGCTGTTGGCCTAGGCGCTGGCTATTGGGCAAGCTAGCGTGTTGTTGGCGCACGCTGGTCACTGGAAATGACCAGGTCGGGTCGCTGGCAGGCTGCAGGGATTGCAGCGGGTCACTGGCGCATGGGCGCGCATGCTCTGCGGCTGCTGGAACACTGCGAGGGTGCACGGTTGCTGGCAGGATGCACACACGGGTGCTGAGGTGAGGCGCATGGGCGCTGGGCATTGGAGGGGCGCACGGTGGCTGGGATGTGGAGCGTGGGCGATAAGCAGATGCGGCACGTCGTGGGGGCGCTATGGTGACAAAACGTAGAGGCGCGCTGTGAGACAATAAATTATTTCTGCTAAAAATTATTACTGCAATAAATTATTAGTGTGAGCCAACAACCATTTATCCAATAAATTATTACTGCTAAAATTTTCTTTGAATATGCAACTTTTTAATTGAGATTATTATTTCCTCTCATATTTCAACAGTTGAAAAATCTGTGATTGCAATAGTTAAAATCCAATGGAAATTTCCAATAGAAAAAACATTCCAATGGAATAAGTTAAAATTTTCGTTGAAATCAATTAAATTTACAAAGGAAATAAAAGCATTGTAATATCCATTCAAATTGTTGTTGGAGTTCAGTAGAATATATTTTCAGTGGAAATTCATCATGTTGTTGTATTGAGATGTGCACCACTACTCTTAGACAAGGTTGTCAACAAATCGAACCAAAGTGAGTGTTGAACCTTTTGATTCAAATTCATGAAAATATATGAACATTTGTATTCATTTTTTATAAAATTCAATACAATTCATGAAAGTACATGAACATTCGTAACTTTCTCTCAACTCCTCTTGTCGTTGTTTTCTGAGAGCTTGGATTTTGGACTTTCAGGCTTTTTTCGTCGGGTCTCAAGCTTGCTTGGCTTCTCTCTTTTTCGTGGTTGTACCTCCAGGAACCTCTAAGGTCGGCATAGACATGGACTCCTTAGTCCTCAGCCATAGCGTGCTATTGAGCCCGGACAGACACTCTTGGTAGGTGGTCGGCATATTCTAGCACAACGAGTAGCTGAACAATGAGTTGGGTTTTAGACCCGAGTATGCCAACACCAGTAACGTCTCTTGGTGACATGAATCCATATTTTTAACTCACTCGTTGAACAAAACAATGTAATGTTTTAGGCTCTCATTAGCTCCCTGGACTATGTTTGCGATCAACTCTTTCGGAATCATGTAGACCTGGGACCTGATGAAATGATATTGGAAGGCTGACCTCAACTGTTGTCAAGTCGAAATGGAGTGGGGTTACAATGCGTGGTATCACATCTGAGCTTCGGGCCCCAGGGTCAACGAGAACATTCTACATCTAAGAGCATCCCCGATCCTATGCAAATCCATGCATGACGTGGAGCGCCCTAAGTGTGAGTCCGGATCCGAGGTGCCGTCATAAAGTTTTATCTGGGGTACTTCAATCTTGTCCGACAGGGGGCTGCGCAAGAGGTCGGATGATAGCAGTGAGGTCATGTCGACGACACGGTCGGTTGATTATAGCAGAGTGGTGATGAAGCCCTTCCCCCATGCTTCTGTTGAGCCTTTAGCTCGACAATTCTCTTTCTGAGGATTGCGACCTCATCGGAATCACGCTTGGTCGATCAATCTCGTAGGTTTTTTTGCCTAAGGTACTGCTCGGCCTCCTTATTCCCCAGTTGGGTAAAGACCGAAGGGTTAGGAGATTTCTCCTTGTGATTGGTAACTGGCCGACTTTCCCCAGTCTCTTTCATCCTAGTTGTGTCAACGGTCTTCTCTTTTTGGTTTTTGGTCGCGCGATTCGGAGATTAGGTGGCGGCCTTAGACTGGGCCAGTCTTTTACCCTTGTCTCTGGCGGGGTTCGTGTCCTTTTTCGCCGTAGGCCTGAGCATGTCAATTTCCAGCGGCAGCGGCGGTGCATGTGACCCTGATGGCATGACTTGTGTTATAAGGCTCGCTATATCCTGAAGAAACTCTGAGTTTTGGAACATCGCCATGAAGTCAATGGTCGAAACCGCCGTACGTGGCTGCTCAGTCGTTTGTGGCCGAGACTCCGCTTTCTGGCTTGATGAAGACATCTTCTCCACTTCATAGGTTGAGCTGCGTTCTTGACTATGGATGTGTTATTTTAAAGTCGACTGGTAAACCTCAAACAATATGAGTCCTTCCTTTAGCGCCAAACCGTTGATCACCAGCTTTGATCAACCCAAACCACCGGTTTAGTGCTGACAACGAAGCGATTAAGCTCTTTAGATTAGGTGTAATACTACGAGAATGCACGAAATTAAGTAATATTGAGGTCGGATATTCTAGCAATCGAAGTCGGGTGCTCGTGTTTAATGATGCAATTAATGTAAGTATATATGTCTCTTGTATAAAGGATTTTCTGAACCCTTTGACAGTGGAATTCTAGAACTATTTTTAGTAGGAATGGCCTGGTTACTTTTCATCGAGCAGTACAATTGAGCATTAAATTGAATGGATACGCATTAATACTGCATATGACCCTATGAAACTTTTTATGGGTAGGCTGACAGGTTTCTTGACAGGCTTGTCCCATCCTTAATTATGTATTAGTATTATCTGTCAACTCTGTATGCTTTAGCTCGGACCTAATATGTTAACTCTTGGCTTACTCTGTACAAGTCTTGAGCCCGTCTCTGTCGATAGGTTGGAGTAAGCAAAACAGAGTCAAAACTGAAAAACCGAGCCGAACTGTACAAATCGGTCCGTTTCGCTTCGTTTTTTTTAATGTAAAAAATTTTCGGTTCGGTTTTTTTCGACATTATGGTGCGGTTATAGTTTTTCATAAGTTCGATTTTTATTTTGTCCGGTTCAGTGCGGTTTTGCACCGAACCGCACCAAATTGAATAAAATGTATAGAAAAACCGCGATAAAACCGAAAACCGAGCCTAACCGTGCATTTCACCACGATTCGGTTTCTGTTCGGTTATTTTAGTGTTAAAAAATTTCGGTTTGGTTTTTTCGAAGTTGCGGTGCGGTTTGGTTATTTTTTTTTTTTTTTGCTAGGTTCGATTTTCAGTGTTTTGCGGTCGAGTGCGGATTTTCAGCCAACCGCACCGTTGCTCACCCCTACCGATGGGTAATTTTCAGGTCGGGCTTACATTTATGGTTACCCTACCTAGGTATCCCGCCTACTTCTTGCTCGGCTCTTGGTTGTTCATGTTTTCGTTGTTGGCTTTGCACGCGATTCTCCGTCCCGAGTACTTGACTCGGCTATTTCTTCACTTAGCATTAGTATTTAATTCTAAATCCGTCCAACTCAACTCAGATGGCAACACTATATAGTATGAGTTACAAAATTATTACAATATAAGATAAGTATGTGGTTCAAGTAACTGATGTGATTATGTA